CCTCATTTAAGTACCTGTCTTTATAAAATATTATTGTGCTAAATAAAGAGAGATTGTTCATTTATTTTTAACTGTAATATTTGTTAATACTACTTATTGATGTTAACTATGTTTTATTTACCTAACTACATGATAATCATGATAGGTATGCTGCTTAATCTGTCAAACACCAAGCGGTCACCGGTGACCGCGACCTATTGTTCTTTAATTGTGTCTATAAAACCGGTACTCGACGAGTTAAATCACACATCGTCTTTTTCTAATGTATTAGCTTTTTTTAAGGGGTGAAAATCATCGAATGACTTCTCCCGCCTGGGTTAGGCGGGAGGGAGTGTCAGACTCTTACTAACTAAAAACCACCCTGTTCCTTCTCCTGCACTTCGAGCCGGAGCCCCGGTAACGCGTTCCGCGACATGGAACCTTTTACTTGTCCATGGGTCAATTGGCGGGGCCAATTGCTTACCACCAAGTAATCCGTCTGCTCGATTGCCGGCCAAGACCACAGAAAGAAACTTGAGGCCGGCACTGAACCTACTGGATTTCAGAAAACAGAGGATTAGAAAATAATAAACAAAATTATAAGGAAGATATTTTTTAAATTAGATACCATCCGTAAAATAAGCTTTAGAATTAAATGAAAAAAGCAATCATTTTCTTTACAGTCAAGTACTTATTTATCCGTCTAATAAGACAAACCCACAAATAGGTAACTAATAGGTAACAAGGAGAGAGATTACTATTGCTAATTTTACCAAATACCATTCTAGATACTATACCTACATAAACTACAATTAACAACAGCTAGTATATTAACGATGACCACCACTACTCTATATGATTTAAAATGTTACTATATATAAAAACCTTCCACGAAAAGCCTTTACGAAAAGAGATTTCGAATGAAACAAAAAGTTGTTGGCAGTTGGCAGCCTACCTCAACGTACCTCTATATTATGTTAACGACTAGTTTTCCGCTTCGTGGCCTCACCCGCGGCTCAACCTTTTGCGGGTTCAGTTGAGTTAATACCGTTTTTGTCTGACACCTTCATAACAAACACAATTTTCGACCCCGTCAAAGTCGAATTACTGGATACGGTATCCAAAATAAATAATAAAAAGGTTGTATACTGAAAAATGATTTCTTTATATGTAGTAATTTGTTTAAAATGGGATACAATATACATATTTGTAGTGAATTAATACAACACATAATTCGACGAGTGATGAGCATTTACAAAATGAGCTCAAGGTTGTTATCACATAAAGTTACAAATAATATTTGGATGGACGCTCGGAGATTGATCTAGTACCTACTACACAGCAATCGTTCTTTAGATATATACTAATTAAAATATAAATAATTTATAAACAAATACAACTATCCATAAACGCCAAAACTTTATCTATAAATAAGTTTTCATAAGGAAAATAACAAAAATCGCCAAAGAACTAGAGTTATCAACATTGCTCGCAAAATCTGTAGACTGAAGTGGCAATGGGTAGGCTACGTCGCTCGACGTAGCCTACCCAGGCCAGGAAAGTCCTCGAGTACCACGGGACGGAAGACGAAGCGTGGGCAGACCTCCCGCTAGGTGGACAGACCACATCGCCAGAGTTGCGGAGAGCCAGCGGATGCAGGTGGCGAGTTGTCCTTTGATGTGGAGAACCAACGGGAGGCCTTTGTCTAGTAATGGACGTCTTTCAGCTGTTGATTATAATGATGATAATGATGATGTTTTCATAGCCCCCAAACACGTAGAAAAGAATGAAAAAGTTAACACTATTGCGGCACACATCGGTATATTATCCAGACATTGTTTTGATCCATTTCTATCAGTTGAAAACAGTAATTTAATTAAACCATGTATGACGTAAAATGTTCGGAGAGTTTATTTTGATTTCGTCAGATGATTACAAAGATTCCAATCTCGTTTTTACAACATGATGGTTTTGCGTAAACGAGAAATAATTCGACTTTAGTATAAACATGAAAACGTAGTAAATACTTTCAATGTTGATAAGTACCTACATTTACATAGAGTTTATTGGCTTATTTTACTTTTTATTGGAGTAGATGCCAGAATATCTTACTATATATTTATGTCACCATACAAACTATGTAATATTTTGTAGTTAATCTTTAATATGACACCACTAAGTACCAGCTGTCTGGGTAAGAATACTATCATTGAAAATTAAGTAGGTAGTCTTATTATAAAACTCCAGAAAATGAAAATGCTAGTAAAATGTGAAAATCAGGTAGTCAGGTATTGAATGATAGTTAGCGGGAAAAGTTCTAAATAAAAGTAACAATCAAGAAATATAAATGTTGCTAAAAGTTTTAATCCTAAAACATTCACGTCAAGGGTTCCCGCGCAAAATCAACAAACTGTACGCGCTAGTAAACCAGCGACATCTGTTTTGGATTGCCAGAAACTCAAGAAGGGCGCTGCTGAGTAGCTTCCAAAAGAGAACCTTTGTAGGAAATCGAAAGCAACACTATCTATCGGGAAATAGCGCTCCTTCGGCATACATCGTTACAACGACATCTGGCGGCAGAAAGCTGAGACGTTGGAAAAGCATTTTCAAATAGAAATCTGTTTGAAGTTGGAACTCTGGAATTTTCCCCTTGCTGAAATTTTCTTTAGAAACAAGTAGAGAGCGCTGTAAAAAGCTCAACGGATTTTTTACAGAGGCAGCGCTACAAGTTGTTCTATTTAACTTTTAGCTAAGGATGTTGACTTAGATCTTCAGGAAATAAAAATATTACACGAATAAATACGTCAGGCCTAACACCAGTATGGTGTACTAACTTACTGGGACTGCCTCAATGTTAAACAGATATTGTAATACTTGAGATAACAAAGAGCTTAAATTAAAAAAAAATGAATTTCTAAACGATCCCAGAAAAACTATGAACCCAGTGATTTCGGAGCTTATTCTAACAATCAAATCTCAATAATATACAATACCTACTGTGCAAAATCATTACTTGTGAATAGTATAATTATGCATATCTTTCGACGTAACGAAAGGAAAGAACGACGTAGCGTCGACGTGAACCAATCGTTCATGTCGACGCAGAGATCAGGATGCAATGTATAGGTATCTAGACATCAAACTTCATTATTGTGAGGTTATAACAGCGCCCACTATACACTTAGTGCTCACTAGTCCTTGCGAGTGAACTCGATATTGCGAAGTTACTTTCAGACTGATGAACTACGGTTCACGGGTTATGGCGGGTGTGAAGTTAGCCGCAAGTCATTATCGCGCATATAATATAATCGCAATTGATTGAACAATAAAACGATTGTGTTTAATTAGAATCAAGAACCTAACGGGTTACCGGGGCTCCGGCTCGACGTGCAGGAGAAGGAACGGAGTGGTTTTTAGTCAGTAAGAGTCTGACACTCCCTCCCGCCTCACCCGCGCGGGAGCAGTCATTCGATGATTTTCCCCCTTTAATAAAAGCCCTATCGTACACGTCGTTTTGGTTCCTAAAATACGTTAAAATTTCGAAATATTCTGCGCGAACTTCACACCCGCCATAACTTGTGAACCGTACTGTACTACCGATGTTAAGGAACTCTTCTGTTTCATATCAACATTACATGAGATAAGGCCTATATGAGACAACAATTATGATAATCATGTCTATTTTCTCTTTTAAATTACAAACAAAATAATAATAATGATGCATACATAACGTATGCAACGACAACAATATTTAATTTCGAAGATTAACTATCTTTATATATATAATTCTTCTGTGAGTGTGTATTTCACTGAACTTCTCTCAAACGACTGGTCCGATTTTGATGAAATTTTTGTATGTTCAAGGGGATCTGGGAATGGTTTAGATTCACAAAACAGCCCGGCATATGGCGCTGCAGTCGTGTCAAGGTGATTTATCCAAAACGGCTGAACTAATTTGAATGAATTTTTGCTTATACATTCAAGTGCAGGACAACGTCTGCGGGGCCGCTAGTATAGTTATAAAGTCATTACAAATCTTGTACAGGTTTTTGGCACTATAAACCTCACCGACACGTATTACTAACATAATTAACAAACCTTTTGCTCTACGACTTTTCAAAATTCAATCTTCTTATAATTGCGAAAACCTTGTTATTATCAAATTAAAATGTATCATGGCTACTAGGAAAGGGTCTTATATGCGTCCTAGCGGACCCGACAGACGTTGTCCTGTAATAATAGGTATAGATAAATAACCTAGAAACCGATTGCAGCGCCATCTGCCAGGCTGATTTGTGAATCTAAACCATTCCCAGATCCCCTTGAACACACACAAAAAATTTCATCAAAATCGGTCCAGTCGTTTGAGAGAAGTTCAGTGACATACACACTCACAGAAGAATTGTATATAAAGATTGCGTAAAGCGATATAGAACATATTAGGTACTTACAAAAAGCAAAGAGGTTTCAACCTTTTTTAAAGTCCACAACACTACGGATTAACAAAAACCCCAGCAAGTTTTCCCTTCAATAACACCGCATTAGGCATCCGGATCGTTTACAATAAATCACTTAAATCTGCGACATTAATCAAACAATAACCGGTAGAAATTGGATCCTCACCTCATCATAAGCTTTTAGAGATCCTTTGTGAGCTAAAGAGCTCTGACATAACGTGTTATCAAATAAAAGAAAGGTGTGAATTTTCACAGGCGGTTATCGAAGCCCCACCTACTTAAGATGGCGCCATCCCCTCCACCTACCAAACAGCCAGTAGCGTTAGAGGATCTCATCTCGTTCATACCTACAGCCTCCGCGGACAATTGCTTGGAACCACCTATTTTCGGATGCAATTATCAGTTTCCGGCAAACTCGAAGCAAAGAAATTTAGTGTCGGTTTTAATCTCGGCGGCAAATGTTTGAATGTTGAGTGAAGTGCCAATGTAGATAGGTGTAATGTTTTAAGTGGGGAGCCTATTTAAGAACATGAAGTTATAAATATTAAACTTATCTTAGCAATCATGGATACGACAGACGATATTTCTAGTACTTGTGAAAACGATTATGTTCGTAACGCAGATAATAATGGCGTGTTGTGTGGTGCTGAAAGAGACTCAAGTTATGATTGTGAATCAGAAACGGAATACGATAGTGAAAATGAAACGATTGATATTTGTGACAACAGTGAACAGTCCAATCATCGAAACGTGGAAAACAAAAACATTAAAAACGTAATAAATCCTTTATTGAATGCCGATAAATTGTGCTTTTTTGAACAAAGTCGAGTAATATTTCCAACGAAAACATTTGACAACTTAAGAAATCTTCGCAATGGAAGTGAATCATCTCGTACTAGTGCGAAAGATTCTGTGAGCAGTGTGATTCACGGCAAAAGTAAAACTTTTCTTATAGACAGTATTTTAGGTAACAATAAAAGTAACAGTTCTAAAGTTGTTAGTAATAAAAATCTGGACGATGTTGACAACGTTGAAGAAAGTACGGATGAACATAACGGTAAGGATATTTTGATATACTTTTTAGTGATTACTGAAAATTATATATGTATATGAATTTAAAACACAAATCTTACATGATTGGTAGGTAAAATCTATACCGTAAAGTCAGTTTTAGAAGTAATGGTGCCCTTTGAAAGAAAAAACTTATTAAAGGCGGAAAATTTAATTTAAACATGTATATCGCTCATTTAACGAAACTTTTAGCTTGTGTTAAAGTATAGATTTATAGACAGCAACCAACAAACTACACGGTAACTCTAATCCTATTTTATTTACTTCTAACATGTTTCTAAAATCTCATATAATGATACGACGAAATATTTTTTATTTCCATGATTTTATGGTACATTTTAAAAGTGTTATAAATATTGTAAAGTACATATAAACTTATTTTATTTACGTCTAAAAAGATCTCTTCGACTACAATTAAACAGAGGAAAGGAAAACTGAGGAATTTTAAAGAAACAGTGAAAATAACTATATAGCTATATGTCTGTAAATGTGATTTTATCATATACTATACGTACTGAAAATCTTGTCCCATTTTACTTAAAACAGAAATAGAAAACAAAATTATTTGAAGTAAAAAACTATAACTTTTCTCTTTATAAAGTTAGCTCAGATTACTCAAAGATTAGTATTATTTTTATGTAATCAGTATTCTGTGGCTTTAGGAATAAAACTGTTCGTCCGTCTATCAAACAAACTGTGAAGTTGCTTATTCCGAAGAACCGAATCTTGTAGAGAAGGAAGAAAAAGCACCGTCGTTTTTTTTAAATGTTATAATTTTTTTACATTATCAAGATCTCAACATTTTATTGTAAACTGATTATCCTTCAATACTATTATTTTGTTCCCACAGTATCATCAACATCGACGTGTCCGGAGCTGAGCGCGTTGAATGACGCAGGATTGCTCGCAGGACATGCGTACGCACATTGGCTTGCTACGCATCAACCCTCCGCTGCTCTTTACGGCAAGTTTTAATTTAGTATTTCGGTTAGATAAAAGAACCTAACCACGCTACTTTTATTTCCTAATATACAGAACACAGAAATTCAGTAACAGAAAGTTTCTTAAAGTTCATAGAATAATAATTAGTTCTTTTCATCTCACTTAGGTACAAATTTACAAATCTAAAATACATCATAAGTGGAGTTATTAATACCCAAACACCGATGATAAACCAGGAGCCCATTGAACACCATAAACATTAATAAAATAACATAAGTACCGTGCATGCGTGTTACAATCGCGTGCAACTCCACCCGGTGTGAAACTTCGCACGCCTAATTCGCACGCAATCATCCCTCGCACATAATATTTAATTGTTTATATTATTTATTCATCATTATTATCACTACTTGTATCATATGAGTGAACTGAACATTGAATTCTCCTTCGTATCATGTTCTGCAAAACTTTTTGTGTTAACATAAATTTCAAATGTATACTCGTTCTTGTCTTCAACAGATTTAACTCGATGTGTCTATTTGCCATATTATTTTGACCTCTATAACCAATTTAGAGTGATATCATATTCATGATTAGATTCAGATCTAGCCATACTTTCTGGGCTAACGATGACAACTCTCTTGACTTAAGTGACTGTGTTTCAAATGGTCAAATACTAATCACTCTATTTCCAAGTTTCTCCGTTCTCAAGAATAGTTTTGTCACTACAAATTCAACTTAAAATTGAGTAGCATTTTAGTATGCGAGCATATGTATGTTAACCAGGACTGAACAATTAAAGTACTCCCAGTGGCACGTGGCTTTAACATCATAATCTTCAGTCTCCAGAACGATAGTTATGCGACTGCAGTGTTACATAAAAACACGTTCAATGACGCTAAGGTTTATAAAACTAATCGGTAACTCCGCCTCTTTCTTGTTACACTTCATTTGAGTAGATACTTTAAACCGAGGTATATTGAAGTTAGGACAAGGTAGTTTAAGACTATAAGGGCTGAAATGCAGAAATCTTCTGCATGCAGAAATCTTATGCATTTCTAACTGAGGTATTTTAATGGGACAAGCCCGCCAAAACTTCCCAAAATCGCTGCAACTCTTGTAAGCCAGCATCTACAATAGATACAACCTTGAAAACACCGGAATAATGACGTCCAACGCCTCCCAAGGACATGAATAACTGTTTTGGTTCCCGCAACAAAATGAATCAGAAGATATTACAAGTGGAAGAAAATAAAATAATAGTTTCCAGTTCCCTCGGTGAATTAAGGCACTGCAGAAACAGGATGAATTAAGCCTAAAGGCACAAAAAGATACTGCACAACTGGGAGTAGCCCAGGCGCCAAGCACCATGGAATTTGACTAAAAACTAAGTAGGTCCTATGTGTAAGTTATTATACTTCCAATAATAGGTATGACAAAAGCGCCTAAACGCACGTAAATTTGTTATAGATTCTAGAAGGTCCATATAACTGAACTACACCTGACGAAACAATTAAATTATGTAACATCGTGTTACGTTCTAACTGAGGTAATAGGTAATACATAACTTCAAGCCTGTCTCCCATGGAAGTATATGTCCGTCTAGGGCGAATAGGACCCCATTCATATCCGCTCTGTATACTTCTTTCGTTACTTTACTTTCATCCATCCTTGCATCTCCATCTCCAATTCCATCTCCAAACCATCGTAACATTCCCTTTTCAGTCCTAACTGAGGTAACTTATTGGGATGTGCCTATCAGATGAAGTCAAAAATATTAAAATATTATTGGAGATAAGAAACTATTTTCTAACCACCTAATTTTCTTTGTTTGACGCAATATCCAAGATTCACAGCAATCTATATTCTACTGTCCTAACTCTACGCTTATAATATCTACATAATTATGGTTAATCTACAGATTAAATACAAAAAAAAACATGTCTGTACTATGTTATTATGTGATTAAAGAAGCAAATGAGCTTCAAAGTAAAAAAAAACTGTTGGGTACGGAAAAACCATAAACGGTATTTACCAACGATTAAGGTGAATCATTCCAAGTCGAAACAAAGAAAAAACATAAAGTCAATCTGTATATTTATCATCAAATTTGTCACATGTCTTGACCCGGCAGCGAGGAGGAATTTCGGTGGCTATAAAATTAGTGTGAGTGTGTAACGTCCGGGAATAGCCTGGGGGTCCGAACTCAAACTTTCTATGTCAACTTGTGACACTATAACGTTGACATTTGACATTCTTTGACTTTATGTTAAGCTGTTTGTAGTAGCTGAACAGCAATAAAAATTAAAAACGATTTACCTACCTAATTCAAAAACACCTATGTATTTTTTTCTAAGATTATTTTACTTTGCCCAATATTATATCTTGATGACGTTTTTTTTAACTGTTAAAGTTCGTGACCAAACTGTATAAGTAATGTCTTGCAAATAAATTGTGCAAATTAATTCGATGAAACCGCAAATCGACCACTTATCAGTTTTCTAAAATAATTATTTGTACACCAATCTTCAACAATAGAAGGATTTTGCAAGTTCTTCACGACAGGAAATAGGCAATAAAGGAGATAACCAAACCATCTGTGAATCTGTGATAATATTACATTCAGTGACACACGCAGGCATAGGTACTTTGTAAAACTGGTGTTAACACGGTTTGTTGACCGTCGTAACTAATTGTAACGCCCAACAGGTTGGTTACACATAGCGTTATGGTTCGCGCGATTAGTACGAGCGCACATTCGACGAAATGTCCCCAGCCGTCGGTCGGTGGTCGCGACTTCGCACCGAGGTGTCGGCAAACAGCTGCCGCGACGATAATTACCAACAAAGCTCTCGTGTTTGTGCATCGTCTTAACACGAACCCCGCTGTGATCGAATTCTATCCAGAAACTCAGTTTACACCATGTCTCTATGCACTACGTACCGAGAAATAGGCTTTGTCAACAACGTTAATTTTTATAGGAATTTTGTTATGGAACTTCATATTTAGATGCACGTGCATGACTTCAGAATTTGTCTAGTTACAATGAGATAACTTTAAATATTTGAGGCTGCCTCTTTTCTGTGTGAACTATGTACAGATACTCTTACTTTTCTAGGTTACTCTTTTACAATCTTACGGCACTGAACACACACAGTCAAAACCTTCAATTTTGAGTCATCTACTTCTTATTGAATAATGACCGATAATGATCCTTTTTTGGAAATGCTAATTTCTAAACGAAGGCCCATCTCGAAAAGAAAGGCCAATAATGCGATAACATTTTTTCGTAAGTAACACCCCAAAAAGTAAAGAAAGTTACACAAGTTATAGGTACTAAATAATCAAATACGTGTGTCACGACTTATGACCTGACTATAGCAAGACTATTCTACAAATTAAAAGAAGCCACAAAAAGTTACTGTGAACTCACCCTGACACAATTTCTTTTAAGAGCCTTGAATATTGCAAAAGTTGGTGCAAATAGCTTACAAAACATTATAAAAATAGTGCACATACATAGAGGTAGATAGCTAGGATTTTGTTTTTTTAAGGGGGGAAAATCATCGAACGACTTCTCCCGCCTGGGTGAGGCGACAGGGACTGTCACTCTTACTGACTAAAAGCCATCCTGTTCCTACTTCTGCACTTCGAACCGGAGCCCCGGCAACCCGGTAAATCCTCCGCGGCTCCTTATCGGCATCAGCCCTATTGGGTTCCATCCGTGGTGGTCTGGTGGCTCTTTCGGTTCTGGTCGGGCAGCGAGCTACCCATGCTTGCCGACCGCAGGCTTAAGGTGGCCGGAGATCGTCCCGTGATCCCCGACGCCCGGAGCGCTACTTCACGACGGCTGGGTTATGAGGAGGCAACACTTTGCTACCTCACGCGCCCCTCCTCCTCCTTAGAGATAGCTAGAATAGGAATGAATTAAAGTAACAAAGTGATAGATGGCAAAAATTAAAATGAAAGAACCATAAAAGTGGATACAGAATAGGAAATAAGTAGACGGGGAAGAAAGATTATAATAAATTTTACCAGTACATGGAACAGTTTCAATTCATTTACATCAAGTAGCTACTTCAATTTAGGTAAACTTAAATTACATTAACTAACGGTACATAACTCAAGATTCAGGTGTAAATCAATATTCAATTGAGTGTAACTTAACAACACCATTTTGCTTTTTGTTATAATAAGTTTTAAAATGGCTGAAGAGTCTGGAGGATCATAAAACGGTTACGTAAATAGTTAGCAGTCGATTAGCACAACCGGGCGCACATACATACACCAACCACAATGCGGTGTTGACACGCGAGATGTCAAACTGCGCAGGCGAAACACAAACAGACTGATTGTGTTTATAGCCACTTAACGAGAACCTGTGACAATTCCGATTAGTGTTCGAAAAAACTTTACTACGTATTTGTTTTAGCGAGAGCAGCTACTTTGTAAATGAAGGAGATGCTTTCAAAACCTCAAAACTATGAACACGCTGTTTTTTATTCACACTTACGAAACACCAAATTAAAACTTGCTTATCATGCTCTTTTCTTTGTAGATGACAAGAATAATAGAAGACCACGTCGAGCGGGACCGGAGAGAAAGCCACGACAAGCGTATAGTGCTAAACAACTTGAGCGTCTGGAGGCAGAGTTCAAGATTGACAAATATCTCAGCGTATCAAAGAGAATGGAGCTGTCCAAAGCTTTAGGACTTACTGAGGTACAAATAAAGACGTGGTTTCAAAACAGACGAACCAAATGGAAGAAGCAGTTGACATCTCGGTTGAAAATAGCTCAGCGACAAGGATTGTTCCCGGGACAAATCTTTGGGCACGCTCCACCAGCATACTCTCTACTAAATCCATATGCTTATACACCGCTTAGCTGTGTTTTTACACCGGTAACTTTGCCTTCTTCGCCACCGTAGTTACATAATTTAGGAACCTAGTAATAGGTGTTGGTCTGTAAATGATAAACATTATACAGCTTTCACAAATACGAAAGTTCGTTGCTGAAAGTTTGTAAAAAAGATGACGTTTGTTGCTCGATCATGTTTGAAAAATGAATTATATTTATATAGATTTCACCTAGTATGGAATACTATTCTAAATTATAAACCACGTGGTCGATGACACCCATATAAAAGAACACACACATTAAGTGACGGCGCTTCTGTTAACGACATAGGCTCTACGTCTTTAGGTAGGTACCATCAATTGGCATTGGAAAAAACCTGGTTACCGGTCACCTATTTGCTAAATTTTAATGTCAGTATAAAACAATTTGTTATTAATGGTATTTAAAACAACATCAGTATGTTACATTCTCATTCAAGTGTCAGTCGTTGTAGGATAATCTCATTGATAATTCTGAACGTATCCGCCGTGACTGTAAAAACAGTTGATTCTTATTTTAATAGCTTTATGGTATTTCGTCATTGCAACACTAGGTTTGTTCTACTTCATTAATGTGTTAACTATTTTAATTGCTCCGCGAACTGTACATAATTACTTAACTTGCTACTTTTGTCACTTCGTACGTATCGTCCTAAATCAAAGGTGTCAAATTTAACATGCATAGGATACATTCAGGGAGTCTAGCACGAGTTTCGACATTTGTTTTCTTTCCCACTTTTCGAATATACCTACGTGCATAAAATCTTATGGTTATAGAAGTGAATTTTAGAACGGATTGGTGTTGAATTGTTGCCTCCCAAACCCGATTGCGATTGCTGAGTAAGGGAATTAATTACGCAAAATAGTACGGAACCTTTCAATTTTTGAAATTTCCTAATTCTCAATAATAGCATAATTTTGGAATTATAACCGCCTGATACATGGGATTTACCCGCATTTAACTAAAAAAAACTCGTGTTAAAATTCCAGTTTTTATATAACAATATGTTGTAAGTTCCCATTACCCCACAACTACGATTATTGTATCAATTTATATTCCTGTATTAATTAGGTAAGTATTTTATATTTACTGTAGTTTTAAAATCGATTAATCATTTAGATGTCATCGTCTAAATTGTATATAGAAATGTACATATCATATAGATTTAAGTTGTAAACTACTGTTATTAAAATTTAATTAAAGAGCAATATCGTATGCAATAAAAATATTACTTCTAATTTATCTGTAATTTTTATTAAAAAGTCTACAGATCCAATTTTAATAAACAGTTCACATTTCGTAATAAATATGTTTAATTAATAACAGAGTGACAGAACATAATAATATTTTTTTTATAATTTTCAAGAATTTTTGGTGCATTGTGCTCGAGGATAGTGGAGGTCGCAGTCCGCGCCACCGAGGCCCAGGGCTGCAGCTCGAAGAGCTCCCAATGCTCCGCCACGAGTCCATGCAACACCTGCACTGTTTGTTTAAAAACTTTTTACAACCCAGTCTACAAAATTATTTGTCAAATACAAAATACCTATCTACAAGGTTAATGCTCTGAAAAAATGTTCACGTCTGTGATATTAGCCGCCGGCCGACGGCCGTCGGACAAGCCCATGCTCATAATTGTATCGGATCGCTTGTACAGCTACAGCTTGATGTGTGATTTGTTTAATATAATTTCCGAATAGATACTAATTACTGAGTAGGCACCTACTGAAGAAATTTAATAATCCTTTACCCGAACCTTGAATCCAGGGTTAAATGACCAGAAAAATAATGACTGTTTAATATTCTCATCCATAAAAAAGTATCTCTAGTCACCAGATACTTACTGCCACACTGGCAACCAGTACCAGTTTCCACCACGGAACTCTCGAGCTCGTTTGTTCCCTACACATAAGGCTCGGTACAGACAGGGTGTGGAGCGCGGTCGCAGCGCCAACAACGCATACCGCGCCATCGTATTCACGGCAGGAATGGACCTCTCTTGTGCATCCCGCTTTACGCGAAACACATCGTCAACGTTAACCGTGTCACCGCTGTTGTCCACCATTTGCATTACTTGAGGTTGTTGTGGATTCTAGATAAAAAGTGATTAAAACATTACTTTCAATGGGGTTTAAAGAAAATGAACATTGTAACTATATTCTATTCTTTTTTAACATGATACATTCAATAATGTCTTCAAGAAAATTTTATGTCGTGCATGTAACTGGTTCATCACCATGAGTTCAGCCCAAGGCGTTCACTGCAGTTCATAGGCCTCCGTAGTATTATAGTACTGGCTAATTTTACGTAATAAGTAACGAAGAATTCGCAATCATAGGAAAATTAAAACTGTTGGTCCAAAATACACTTACCATAGTAATACACATGAGCACTTGTAGAATGAACATGCCAAAGGACAGAAAGGCGATACCAGTCAGTGATATGTCAAAGAGGTCAGCCAAGCCGAGACTGTGGCTGTCTCTCTCGACTGTGTACTCTTCCACGACGTGAGTCTGAGGCACGGCTGCTGGATGATGGTACAGAGGTGGCGGCGGTGGTGGCATCGAGTACTCGTAGCCACCACCTAAAATGGAGAAGTAAATATAATGAAGTCGGTTACAAAGAGTATTGGATATATTTTACTGCCTATTTTAAATTATCAGCCAGTTATATGAAGCATTAATTAACTAACTAATAACTTATACCTTTAGGTACCACGATGTGTAAAATTGAAATAGGATAATAATAATAAGGGGCCACCCCCCCCTAAGGGGCCACCCCCCCCTAAGGGGCCACCTTGACGTGGTGGGGGGGCTTACGGAAGGCATGAACTACAATTAGGTCACTAAGAGCTAGACCCACCCTTTAACGGAGATACAAATATTATAGCCACTAACACCTCGGCGATACCCTTCCAACTAACGGCCTCAATCACCAATGCATTTGATCCAGTCACAGGCCAAATGTATTATTTTCCTAATTTTCCCTGTCATTTCCTCAGTCTATGTTTGACCTTGACTTTAACTCTTTCTTCTTTCTACTTATTTTGTCGCGATATCTACCCTTGCCCATACCTCATTAAAAAAAAACCCCTCTCATATATATGCGATGCGACTAAGAAGTAGAGTAATACCCCAGGCGGGTACCGGAGTTAGCAACGATGGAGAATCCCGCCCCGGGCCTTCCAGCCCGGGCTGCCCTTCGTACTCTGGGGAGGGCACCGTATCGCAAGCTGCCCAGTCACAAGCTGTTGCAGCACAACATGCTCAATCGTCAACATGTTCTTCACCAACGTCATCATTATTTTCATCCGTCCCCTCATCACCAGCATCATATCTTAACAATCAACATTCCAGCTCAACCAATTCATCCCCATTATCATTTCATTCCGCCAGGGACGTTGTGCAGGAGGCTACCTCAGCTGAAATTACTGCACCCGCCCAAGGTGGACGGCGCACACGTAAAACGTGGACGAAAGAAATGAACATTTTCATCATGCGCCACTATTACATCCTCACTAACCTCGAACTTAACACTAAAACTTATCTAACACCATTACACGCACGTTTCACAGCAGAATTCCCCGACATGAATGCTTCTAAACAAAGAGTAGGTGATCAGCGCCGTGCTATCGTTCGTCGCAACTTACTCACAAAACAAGAAATCATAAATATAAAGGACCAAGTTAAAATTGTATTACAACATCAACCAACCGCATCTCTAATTACAACAGACACTGATCAAACCCATTCTCGTAGAATGAGATGGACTGACGACTTAAATGAAACCATTATGAGAAGCTATTACCGACTAACAAATCTTGAAGCAGATCTTACCTCATACAGACCATTATTACACCAAGACGTCATTTCAAAATGCCCCTCTATTGCACATCTTTCTGCACAACGAATTTCGGATCAACGCAGATCCATTGTCAATAATCAACTCTTATCCACAGATCGATTAAATCAAATTAGAGAAGAAGTTAGAAATGAAATGGCTTCCTCTAATACTGATAATCTTGACCACACAATAACACATCAAAGAGTACACGAACCAGTAACACAGACAACAATTACCACTGATGAGCAAACTGAAAGCACAGCGATAACAAACACCAACGAGCAAAATATACCAGTAGCACAAAACACCATACACTTTCCAAATGAATTAGTTGAACAATTAGAAGAAATGTACATAGACCACTTTAGTAAATTTAAAGACTCCGACCCAACAAATAGACCATACATCCCTAAATTAAAACCTTCCAAGAAACTTGCAGCAATTATTAGTTATCTTAATAATAATATACTTCCAAAGACACTGACCCCGGATACAGATTTCCGTACACTACAGACTTCAATTTATTGTGCAGCATACACTGCAGCTAAGTTCAATGGTGCCAGAGTCAAAGAAATAAATAATAGACCTATTAGTCAATCTGAAAAAGTACCGTGGTGGCAAAAACGATTAGAAAGTAGGATTAGGGATCTCAGAGCCAATATAGGGAGACTTTCAGAATATGCAAAAGGTGTTCGGTCGGAAGCCCTAGAAAAGCATGTAACCAACATAAAACAAATATACAAAATACACACTCGACATGAAACAGAAAACACTGATATAGCACATTACTTAGACACTTTAAAACAAAAACTTAATACTCTAGCAAGCAGATTAAGAAGGTATAAGGAGACGACGAATAGAAAAACACAAAAACAAACAGTTCTCTAATAATGAAAAAATTTTTAAAATTAACCCAGCAAAACAATAATCCACAAGAGAATAACATACCACTACCAAGCCCCGAATCACTACACACATTTTGGTCTAACATATGGTCAAATCCAAAACAACATCAGCTAAACAATTGGATTGAGGACGACAAACAAAACTGGACAGATATACCAGAAATGACATTTGAGCAGATTCATTTACACCTCTTACAAAGAGTTATAGCTAGGACACACAACTGGAAAGCTGCGGGCTCCGACAACATTCACAACTTCTGGTATAAGAAGTTAACATGCACACACA